GGCCACATGTGGCAGTGCACACCAAGGCCTGCTGCAGACTCTTGCCCACCTTCAGGGGTGGGCCCTGCAGGGGGCAACRGGGAGTGACACTGTGTGCCTCTCTGCTGGTGTTCCACTCTGAGTCCAGGAAGCAGACAGTAGCTGCTCAGGGCAGTCCTGCTCTGCCTTCTACTCTCCAGCCCAGGCTGGAGGGAGGTGCACATGGAGTACTTGGTTATAGCTGTAGCCTTCCTCGGTGATAGACAGCAGGGAGAGGATGGGGGGTTTCCCCCAGGGACAGTTCAGAAACAGACAGGACTGGGACTCTTCAAGAAGTCAGGCTTTTGAGAGCAGCACCTGAAAACCTTAGTGGATGTTAGGTTCACTTCCCAGTGACACTGTAAAACTGAAATCAGAGGCATGTAGGTGCTTAGAGGACAGAGATTATGCCTCCCTATCTCACAGTTAAATAAGAGTAAACATCTCAGTTAGTTGTTATCTCCCTAGCAAGATGTCTACAAGATAACAGGCATTTTCAAAATTTGCCTAATGCAAAGCAAGTCAGCCAGCCTGCTTTAATGGAGRTGTGTCCTGGGTTGATTGTCTATAGAACTTTAAGCTTGGCATCCTGCTTCAAGTGAATCTATTACACTCAATTTCCTGTGAGGCTCTTTCTTTCCTTTTTTCTCTTTAAATCTGTGTTATTTTCATAAGCATTTAAAATCACATACCTTTTCTTAATCTCCTTGCCAACCAAATGATAAATGCCAACCCACAGAATGCAGTGACTACGACTGCCACAGGTATGAAGAGGGGATTATAGTCACCTTCCTTTATCATGGAGAAACTTCTGTCTGATTCTGAAACAGAAAGGTAGGAAGGCACACATGAGATCACAGCATCATTTCCTTGGTGCAGCTCCTAATTCTTGACATTTTCCCTCCTGGCTTCCCATTACAGCCCCTTGATGACCATGACAAATCTGATGCAGGGGAAAGCCCCCCAGGAGTCTACCTAGAGAAGGGAAATTTAAATGTCAATCAATTGATTGACAGAGGAGTTGGTCTGAAGCAGACTGGCCCAGCCTATAGCCTAGTGCCTAGAGATTATCTGTCGCCTGATGGGTGTTTGGTAGAATTCCTGGGAATGTCTACAGAATCTTGGCAAGAAAAAGTTATCATTGTATTGCGGCCATGGCTTTGTCAATGGTTGGACCTCAAACAAAGAGAAGATCTACAAAGTCAGATACAGCTTCAGGAAAAAGAGAAGCCAATGATTGACCTGGGAAACTTGTCAAAGGAAACTACTAGTGTTTTTTCTTTAAAGCACACGTGCAATCGTAAGCACTAGAGTTTATGTGCCAAGACCTGCACTGATCTATCAAGTGATGTAGGCCTACCACCTCCCTCCACTTCCTTCCCCAACAAGGAAAAGGACTCAGTTACATATCCTTTGTGAATATAAACTCAGTCCATTTTCAGTTTCATTTTTATTGAAAAAGTTCCAATGTGAGAAACCTGCCTTGGATACCTCCTGATGAAGGAAGCTACCTTCCCATGTTGGCACAGAGTCCAACTGGGGCCCTTGATCCTCTAGCTGCTTTGCTGAGCACTCACACARTGCCTCCACCCAACTCTCAAATACAGGATGCTGAGAGGCTGAAGTTCCCAGAGGTACCAAACAGGCACCTGTTGGYTTGAGGAAGATGAGGGAATGGATGCTAGCCAGGCTGCAAAGCAAACGTACCCGACAACCTGAGGCTCAGAGGCCTTCTTGCCCCTCCTCTGCCTGCCCCACTGCACTCTAGACACACAGAGGTTAGCTTCTCTAGTGACTTCAACAGACCCCAAGCCAGGAGGCCCTCTGTAGCCTGTGCAGATGGCATGTGGGGCAGACCTCCTGGCCATCCTCTCATATGCTAATTTAATGTGCCTTTGATCCAGCAAGTGTTGCTGGCACCTGTCAGGTGGTGGAGAGAGGAAGGTGAAGAAGACAGTCCTGCTCTTGCTCAGACTTGGGAGACATCAGCTGAGGGGCAAGTGAGAAGAATTCATGATTTTGGGAATTAGGTGGCCATGGATGACCTCTGAGGAGGCATTTCAAGGGACTAACAGAGAAGAGAAGTCAGAGAGCAGAGGAAGAGAACAATGGAGAAGAGCTAAGTCACAGAGACAGCGGGTTAGATTTTAAAAGTTCAGACAGGAAGTGTTGAGAATGAAAAACAGAAATGGCTGTCACTAGAGGAGGAGACAAGGACAGCCAAGCATTTTATAGTAAATTAATGCATACAAATTTGTATTGTACAAAATGAAGCGTCAAGTTTAGTAGATRTGTCGCACCGTCTGTGTGTCCATCAGYCCCATCTTCAAGTCTTCTGTGTATTGGGCGAACTTACGTTGACATATTGGATGAGGACTGGACCAGATTCCAGAGGATCCACAAACAGTTCTCTTCTCCCCAATTAGCTCGGTTCCCTCTGAGCAGCTGAAGGTGCACGTGGAGGTAAAACTGAAGTTGGCCAGGGGGTGAGTGCAGTCCATGGACCCCAAGTCAGGTGCTGTCAGAGGCTCACACTGAATCACTTCAATGGAAAAGACAGAACAAAAGAACTCAAGATAGTACTTCGGAGCAGAGAACTCTCCCTTGACCAAAGATTTTTAGCCAAAGCTGTCTGACTTAAGATGGGACCATCCACATGCATATAGCAGTCCTCATTTCTAGACGTTACTTCTGGTGATGCTTCCAGACTTTATCTTCTTAGAATGATGATGAGTGGTAGGTTGGGGGTGAAGCCCCAGCAGCCCTGATGAAGCAGCAGGGCACACACCTTGCCTAACAACACCCTGGAGTATTCTCCCAAATGTGCAGAATCTCCACCTTCTCTCCTGTTGTAGAGCTTACCCAGGAAGCTTTGAAAAACATCCCAACTCTACAATCCCAATTCTGTAAAATTTGGTAGATTAGACAATTTAGTTCTAGGATTTTGATAAAGGATTTTAATGTTTCTTTTGAGAATTGAACTACTTAAACTAGTGATTCAGAAGGATAAATGTAGAAAATGTCATCAGAACTTCCCATGTGCAGACAAGCACTAATATTCTCCCATGTGGGGATAATCTTTTCAGTTAAAAATGAAAATAAAAATCCCTTAATTTCAAATGTAAAATGATGAAGAGATTGGTTTGTTTTTCAAAGAACTTATTCTCCTGTGAATTCAAGGATGGGAAACATAAAGATAATCTTAAGAAACACCAAATTAAAAAATCAAGAAAGAATTCCACCGTGGGACGAAAATTCTTTGGTGTTAAGTAGGACACCAACTAGTAGATATCATTGACAGGAGAGGAACAAAATTTATTCCTCAGCAAGACTGCTCATGCCATGGCAATGAGGAAAATAAAAAATACAATATCGCTGTGTTGTATTGCTCTAAACAGGCTATACAGTGTTAGATGATTGTAGAGACCATATTTTTGTTTGGGGGGATTATTTTTAATTTTAGTAAGAATAACCCCTTAGAAAAGCTTCACAGCACAATCCAAGGTTACAGCACACTCTTAAAGAGGATGCAGATTTCTTAGCAAGTCTCTGCTACTTCTTCTCAGACTATAAACCCAGGAGAACCATGGCCAAACCTGGAGTTACTCACCATGACAGGTTGGTTCTAGAGATGACCAGTTTCCCAAAGGGCCACAGTGTGTTTCCTCCATCCCATTTAGGTTTGTTCCCTCAGAGCAGTTGAAGGCACACTGCGATCCGAAGCTGAAGGCTCCCAAAGGGTGAGTGCAGTCCATGCTGCCCAGCTCTGGGGCCTCCAAAGCCTCACACTGGACCACTTCAGTAAGGAAGAGACAGTGTTGGGAAGGGTTAAGAGGGCCTGATAGATTTGATTCGTATCACTGCCATTTAATAGCCATGTGTCTGTCTTAGAGTCCAAAGAAATATTTCTGAAAGAAATGGTCCCTGAACTATGTATTCAAAATGAACTGTTGTGTTGGCCATTTATGAAATGATAGACAGGGTCATGAGCAGAGTCAGTGAGATAAAAAGCCCGTTTGGTAAGTGGAGAACAAGTATTTTGATGTTACTAGCAAGAAGAGAATGATGTGAGATGAGTCTAGGAAGAAAGATAGGACTTAACGAGGATCTCTTATATATCAAGGATTACTCCAGGCCTTGAGAGGCTTAAATTTCATTCTGTAGGAGAAATGTTAGGCACAAATATAAGGGTAGCTGGTCACATGTGGGATGTTTGATTACTTTTAATTGTCTACCTGCCTGTGGTACATTTGAGGAGAGCTAATTTAAAGTTGGAGAGCTCATCTAGTAGACTACTGCAATCATTTAGGAGAAAAACGTGGGCAATGATATAAGAGTTGATAGGAGACATATTGGAAATTTATAAGTCCTGCATATTATTGTTCATTACCTTACATCAAACATTGGGGGAGGTGAGAGTCTCACAGTGTCCATGTACACCGTGGTTTCATGTTCCAGCTCTAGAACATGGTTTATCTCACACTGAGGTAAAAGTTACAGAAAGGGAAGCCAGCTGGGACAGTGGACTTTCTAGGCTTTTGGACATCCCAAAAGAAATCCTTAGCATATTTGGAGTTGAGGGCTAGAGACCGATTTCTCAGTTCAAAGACCAGATAGACTTGTGGGTGAACAAAAGTCAGTAAGTTTGACCAAAGGGAATATGCAGAGTCAGAAGCAACACAGGAAAAAAGACAGAAGTTGAGAAATAATAACAGAAGTTGAGCTGGGATTATTGCTTATGTAGGAACCCGAAGAATGATGTTCAGTGGAACAGAAAGACTGGCATAATGGAAAGCAAGACAAAAGCAAAACAAAACAAAAACCTACATTTTTTTAAAGTAGGGGAATGGGAATACACTTACATAAGGTTTAACAAATAAAGTTCCAGATCAGGAGTAAAATTTTAGGTAGCAGTCCTGGCTCAGAGATTAAGAAAAATGWGTTGGATCTATTCCAGTCAGTTGACATCTGAATCCACTTTGGCTTTAAGTCATATTCTTTACAAATATTGCTTTTGTCAATAATTTTCTATTCTATACATCAGACACTTAAAAGTTATTCTGAAACTACCAACATCAAAGTATCGCGTGTCTCCTTCAGTAGTGGGTGACAGGGTCAAGGCCTGTCTTTAACCTGGGTGTTCCCTCCTTTCCATTTCCACCTCCTTGCCTCTGAGTGACTGACAAAGACCAGGAAGAGCCTCTCCATCGCCCACCATGTGCTTCTGGGTTAACTGCCCACTTGCCGGGGAAGACGCTAAGGAGCCGCTCACTGCAGATAAGGCTGGGCTCCTTCACCAGCAGCTCCAGGCCCTGGGCTCACTGCAGCTTGTCTCCCTCACACCCAATTGTGAACAGATAAGATTTCCCTTAACTAACCAAAAATCYTTTAAGGGAAGGTTTTATGACAGATCTTCCATTGTGTTCTCCTGAAATAYTTAGCCCAAGTGAACATGGAGAATTTGCTGTTACACATCTCTGACATAAGCTATGTATTATCATGAACTTTTCTCCTGGCTTTCCCTGTCATCACTTTATAAAAAAGTGAGATTACCTTCTGTGTAACTCTCTCCTAAGGGTAAAGTGTACAGTTTCGTTCAGACTTTAGATTCCAATTAATAGATCAAGCGCATCAGATTGTGAGCTCCCTGAGAGCAGGAATCAACCCTCACCTGACCCCTTACTGTAGAGCTCAATGCTTGCACTCCACACCTGGTTTCTTATGGTAATCAGAAACACTTATGTTCTGGGAGTGGTGGCCCAAGCCTCTAATACCAGATTCTGGAGACAGAGGCAGGAGGACTGCAAGTTTAAAGCCAGCCTCAGCAATTTAGTAAGACCCTCAGCAACTTAGTAAGAGACCCTGTCTTAAACAAACAAACAAACAAAACCCTGGGGATGTAGCTCAGTGAAAGAGTGTCCTTGGGGTCAATCTCCACTACAAAACCAAAACAAAACCACTTCACACTGCCTTGTGAAACCTTTGCAATAAATGCATTGCAAAAGCATAACTTCTGATCACAACTTCCCATTTCTCAGAATGGCTAGTATCATTTCATCCCAACCAACTTCCATCATAAGCTACAGTGAGTCTTGTTACTTGCAAAGGAGTGAAGGGGCTTACCAAACTGACACTGGGGCCCATAGTGTCCAGCATCACAGTTACAGGTGTAATTGTTGATGGTTTCCACGCATTCTCCGTGGCCACTGCATGACC